CAAGCACATGGGCAAGAAAATTCCCGCAGTTCTACTTCTGGAAAAAATCCTGGAAATATGGATATAACACCAAAAGAAAATACAAGAAAAAAAAGTTCATTGAGCAAATACTGGTTTGATTAGCGGAAGCATTTGCGCTTCTGCAGCACCTCGATTAAACCTAGCAAAATCGGCACGACAAAGCACACTGTTGTCGCATATAAATAGAGGACGTACGACACACATCCGGGCTGCTCCGAATCCAGACCATACACCACGGCGAGATATCGCGACATGATTCTGCAGTTTTGAAAAATTCTCGAACTTAAAATCAAAACTTTTTATGGAATTTTTTCATGGGAGTTACCGACTTATAAATGTTAAACATACTTCACATTCTTCCCGTTACAAGTCAAGAGATATCAAGGATTTGATTTCAAAGTACTTTCGAGTGTCTTTGCCTCTCAGAGACTGACTTGGATACGGTAGCGCTACAAGTATCACGGCCGAAGTAGCTAACACTGTACAATTCACTCAGGAAACACTGGAGATCCAGCCCGGCGGTAAGTAGCAGATTGAGGGTTCGATTTCGTTGATGGGGCAATTTATTCCACTACGTCCATTTCTCACCAATGATAAAGCTTAGCTTTGTGCCAGTCATTCTTTATTTTGGACAAGTATCATACAGAGAGGTGCGTTTTGCTGCGACAGAACTCAAACGTATTTCTGCGGCCTGCTCGTTTCTTTCGTGACGTAAGTCTAAAATGGAAAAACGTACGATTTCGAAGCCGCTGAAAAGCGCGTCGAGCATTTTCTTGTTTACGCCTCAACTTCTCAAGAAATCGATAGTGATCGATACGAAATGCGTCCCTAGAAGGCGTCGTGGAGAGTGAAGTTGAAGTAGTTGCGACCGTCGTCGTGTCATACGAATGTTCAGTCCGGAATTCAGGTGTCGAATAGAGAAACACATCTCGTGTTCCTTGCTTTTCAGACGAATCGCTACCTGTATTCAATCCCATTGTTACACCTGGTGCCACTGACCCTAAAAAATTAGCTACTACAATATTTTTACAAATTTAACCTTTTCATTAATATTAAAACCCAGGCTGGAACGCACCAAGCTCGCTGGTGCGATCGTGCGTTTTTGCACTAAGCTCATTAATAGCAGGAATAATCCGTGCACTGCAGTCAAACACTCGGACTCATGTTGGCCATGCGCTGGTTTCCTCCGGCATGCAGCAGAATGGGCAACTGTTGGGATGAGGATGTTACGTTATAGAGCCGCATGGACCTACAGTTTTTTGCATGAAACTCGGTCGTTTTTTCGGTAAGTGTTAGCTCTCTGAAAAAGTGAAATGCAAATTTTTTGAAAAAATGCAAATTCCCAGTTCACTACAAAAGTGGAAGTACCACCCGAGCGTCATTTGTGGAAAAATCTAAGTATGCAAATGAATTAATGATCATTTACATATTTGGATGAGCGTGGTTGTTCGCCGCAAAACGCACTCGTTTATGATTTGTCGGTAAAGTTGAGTATTTCTCACGCCTACCTGGAAGGAATTCCACCTCCAAGCAGAATTAAGACAGCGGTTGAAAGTAGAATATCCAAAGAATTTTCAGTCCCACAGCTTATCCGGCAAGCGAAATATCCACTTCGCTACAAATATCTTTGAAGTGCCTTAAGTTATGGCTCAAGTGTAAATCAGTGCTCACTTTAGGTGTACTATTTCTTATATGGGCGACAAATATCCTGACAAAATTTCAGCCACTT